TCTCTGATCCCCTCCTGCCCCCAAAATCTCTGGAGACACCTGTGCGGGTTTCCTCAAGATCAAGTTTCCGTAAAGAGCGCTAAGCCTGCAGTTCTTTTGCAGCCTCTCAGGTCAAGGGCTCTTGCTGTCTCTGCTGGCCCTGCCACTCGCCACCGTGCTGGCCGAGGCTTCCAGAGACGCGCTCCGCTCGAGCGCGGCCCGGGGCGGGTCCGGCATCCGTGGAGAACCTGGTGGGGCTTGGGAGGGAGGCGTGGGGTGGCCGGTGACAACGTCAACTAAGAGCTCTCCCTGCTTTCCGTGCTCAGAATCAGAGAGTTCGCCTTTTAACGGGTACCGTGAACATCTGAAAGAAATTACCTTTATCGCCGGGTTTCGTGGAAGCTGGATAGTCTACCCACACCTAAAACCAACTTCACATCAGCCTGCATCAGTACATTTTGTACACGCTTTGCCTCAAATCGATTTTTAAGTAAAATCCATCGATTAAAAAAAAAAAAAATCAGCACACATCCTTTCGGATTATTGCATTTGCTTTTGTTTTAGACTTCAAAGAAAAGCCGTTTGCTGCTAAATCGACCGGATAAAATTCACATGTAATAATGGACAAAGCATTCGCGACTATAGTGAAAGTGAAAATTCTTTGGAAATAGGATAAAACAGTAATGTGCGCCCAAAGTATTGTAAAGCACAGTTAAATCTCTCAAAGGTAAGAGCAAAGCGGAGAGGCTGTCACACCTGGTGTGTTGCTCAATGCCCAGAATAAATGACATCAGACTTTCAGAGCCTAGGGGTCGATTTTAACTCAACACAATTCAGACTCACAGCAAGTGACAGCAAAAAGCACCGGGCCTCGCTCGGCCCCAGGATTTGCCGCTAAAGACTAAAGGACCTTAGTGTCGTCAGCCTCGTCTGCAACATTCAATCGACGGGAACTAAGCACTGACAAAGCGGAGATCCGTATGGGTTTGGGTGTAAGTTGTGTTGAAAAAGGTTAACATTGTTCTATTGCAGTTTTTGTTTCGTTTTTTGTTTTTTTTAATTGAAACCGTGAAATTAAGAAATGTGGTTTTGTCGCACGCTTAAGAAACAGACTTTGGTTATTTTGCAGTATCCGGAGGCGCGGCCGTTTATGCAAGCCGACGTAACCGCTTCGGCTCTTAAAATGAATGTAGAGAAAACAGACTGTTTAAGTTGCAAACTAGACCTACAGAGCTATTTTTTTTTTTTTTTAAATGGAGGCTTTCTTAGCAAATACTGGAAACGATTGAAAAGTATATCAGTAAGGAAACCGTTGAAATACAGAAAGATCTCAGAGCCATATAAAGTAAAAGAAAGAAGTTGCTGAGTAATATGGACGCCACCCTAAGATTTTTTTAAAAAAGAATCCTCTAGACGCATCCGCGCCCACACTCCAGGCTGGAAGAGGGCTGCGTGGGAGAGGGGAGGAGGTTGCGTAGGAAAGGCATGCGTTCGTGTGTTATTTTGAAGTTAAATTTCAAGAAGCAAAACAGAACCAGATATAGACAGGAAACAGCAAACAGAACCCCGAGGATCCTACGTGAGTGATGGAATC